CCGTCTCAGAGGACACAGTCCCTCCTGGTGGGGGAGTACTGGCGGAGTTCTTGACTCTGGGAATGTGTGACAGGAGCTCACATCTAGGCAGATCAGGAAGTGGAATGCTCCGGCCAAAGGCAGAGCCAAGCTATAGCCCTCCTGTCCTCCTGTCACGCCTCCTGTTTCAGAGATTCTACAACCTCCTCAAAAAGCTTCAACAGCCAGGGACCAAGTGTTCAGACACAAGTCTATGGAGGGAGTCACATCCATGCCCTAATATGACACATCTCCCCATCTTTGCTCTGCTAAGACCTCTTTCTCTTTCCCAATATCTTGGTTTTTTAGAAGTGTGCTAATTTTGAAAGATTTCAGAATGATGGGCTCACAAATATGCTCTAAGTTGCTCAATCAAAAAACAAGATTAAAGAGTATCATATAAAGTTATTAAAAATAACTAAAATGATTAAAGAATAGTATAAAGCTGGCAAAGCACCAGAAGAATTTTTCAGTAAATCCTGTCTTAAAATGTGAAGGAAGAACTGTCACAACAAAAGAAAGTAATGAGAGCTGACGGGGTTAGAAAAATGGGGTTAGGAAAATGTGACTGGTTACCAATGGGGTAAATTCCTCTCTGAAAAGAATTGAAATTGACGGACATTTTTTTCAAAAACAACACAGAAACTCTTATCTGCATCTCCCTATCATGTTGGGGTGACCTTTGAAAATTTTGTATTCAGTATTCATCGGTAGAAAAAGAGAGAGCCCATCCCTTCATGGAGACCTGGCTCAGCCCTCTTAACCTACAGACGTATTTAACCTATGACTAAGTATCTGATATGTGAGAATTTCCCAGCACCCACCACCTCCTCCACAGCGAAGCCAAGTACAGTCAGGCCTTTGTATCTGTGGGTTCTGCATTCAAGGACCCATCCAACCATGGATTGAAAACATTTCAAAGATGCAAATGCCATGTATGGTGGCTCATGTCTCTAATTCCAGTACTAGAGGCAGAAGCAGGTGGATCTCTGTGCGTTCAAAGTCATCATAGTGTACGTAGCAAGTTCCAGGCCAGCCAGGACTACATAGTAAGACCTTATTTCAAAAAATGTGGAATTTGGGAGATGGCCTAGTTGGTAACGTGCTTGTCACACAAGCAGGAAGACATGAGTTTGGATCCCCAGCACCCACATTAAAAGCCGGGCACAGTGATGCACATTTTTTAACTGCAGCACTTAGGAGATGAGAGGTGGAGACAGGTGGCTCCCTGGAACTCACTGGCTAGCCAGCCTAGCGTAACTGGAGAGTTCCAGGTTCAGTGAAAGACCCTGTGTCTACAAATAAGGCAGAGAATGATTGAGGAAGACACCCAGTGCCAACCTCTGGCCGCCACATGTATGTGTACCTGTGTACCTGTGCACCAGCACACATGTGCACACATACAGATTTCTTTTGGATTGAACATACAGAGATTTCTTCTTCACATACTCCATGAGCAATAAGGCAACTATGTGCGTAACATCTGCACCACACTGGACATTGTAAGTCAGTTCAAGATGATTTAAAGTGTCCAGGAGGCTGTGTGTAGATCCTACGATGACGGCACAGCATTTTATGTAGGGACGTGAAGCTCTGGATTTTGATGTCTGCAGAGGGTCCTGGAACCCAGCCCCTCAGATGCCAGGGGATAATTAAAATGCACATTGACCTGGCCTCCATTGCACATGTATGAGAAATTCATACATGTTGTGGTTTTAGAACTTAGGACTGTTGACATTCTAAGTTAGTTTACGAAGTAGACTTCACATTTTTTCTATCTGAAAACACCTCCATAGTGGTGAGAGCTAACCTATTTTCAGGGGCTCTGTCAATGAGTGGAGTTTAAGGGTAGAGAATCCATTTACTGCAACTAAGATTGATGTGCTAAGGTATGAATAGTTGCAATGTGGTCATCACTGAAGCCTCAGTCCGCAGATCTGTTTCTCCTCCGTGACTACAAGGTTTTCATGAGCATGGTCTGTGGTGGGAGAGAATTCTGTACAGTTGATAATTCATGGGTGTGTACCAGAGCCCCAGCAGACCACCCCAGACAGTTTGACCACTACTCCCACCATGGCCATGGCCTCTTAGGAGCAAGGCCACATGCTTAGTAGACAAGGAAAGAAACCAAACTCTTCCTGCAGAGGCTGCGTGCAGCAACCGTCTCCACATAGACTGTTTCCATGGCCCGCTTGCCTATTTTTTATGAGTCTGTATTATCTTTGCACCAAGGGCAAAGTTAGTGTTTTTGCCTGGGAATAAGTTAATTGTCACATTCAATGTATATTCAAGCATCTACTATGTGTACTGGGGACATGATTTGAGAAAATGTCAAAAATCTTTACCATTGAGAGAAAGTGAGAGTGTTAGGGTGGGACATGCTTAGAGCAAGTTAATTGGTTAGGGGAGTGCATTGGGGGTCAGACTAGCTGAGGCCCAGCCTCGTCTCTACACTCACGTAACTGTGAACTCGGCTTCTCTGTACCTCAGTTTCCCCATCTGTGACAGGAGAGCGATGATGCCAGAGTCCTCAGAGGGCTCTTATGAGTTTAAGCACATTACTGTGGCGTGTCCGGGGCACAGAGGACGGTGTGGAACATCTTTCTGCTGCTGTCAGGCTACAATGATAAGGGAGCCAGGGAAAGAACTGGGCGGTGCCTGCGGGGCCCAGCCATGGAAGCACAAAGGGCGGTCAGGGCGGCTTCATCGAGAAGACGGTAACAAATTCTGGGAAGAAGCAGAGGGATGTGCCGCGTGGTACATGGGGTCCTGATGTTCATAGGACAGCCTGGTGGTCGGGCTGGCGTGGCGTAAGGTCAGAGTAACGGGAGACAGGCGCGATAGCCATGGCAAAGACTTTGAGAGTCCGACACTTGCAAGAGGCTGTGGAAGGGTAGAGAACTGACAGGCCTGTGGTTGCCTCTGGCTGGGAGCACATGGAGGGTGTAACCCCAAAATCTCCCCTGGGAGACCCTCGTGGGCACACTCTCTCGGCTCCCAGGACACACTGAAGATGGCTGCATGTTTATCCTGAGCAAACGTGAGCTATGTTAGCTGAGATAGCAAAGTCCTGTGGCATAGCAGACCCAGTTCTGGCCAGCTCTATTTCTGGGTTGCTGTCACACAGTACCACAAGCTGGGTGTCTTAAAACACCAGAAATGTGTTCTCAGGTTCTAGAGTCAAGAAGTTTGAAGTCAAGCATGCACAAGACCACCCCTTCTGAGGCTCAGGGTCAAACAAACCTGCCCTGTCCTTTCTTCTCCTGGTGGTAGCTGTCCACCAGCCCCTGCTGTTCATTGTGTCCCTGTGTCCCCGTCTCTTCTGTTTTTCTCTCACGTAGGACACCAGCCGTGCTGGACTGGGGCTACCTGGTGACTTCATCTTAACTTGCTGACCCCTGTAAAGACCCATTCCAAACAGTGTTCCACTTGTAGGGACTCAACAGCAGTGGTTGGGAGACACCCAGGTAGAGATGTTGGACAGGGAAAGCTCAAGTCCAGGGGCAGGTCTGGGCTGACTGTAAGCCTGGGGGTCAAGAGCATGTTACAGGCAGTTTAAGGCTCCATGGGGAGTGTTGAACAGGCAGAGTAGAAACTGCAGCAGGCTTGCAAGGGCACCCAGCAGGGCAGCAGAGGAGGGAACCTGGGCAGGCATGGCATCCTGGAGTCCAGAGGAGGAAGGGAAACTGAGTTTACCAAGAAGACAGAAAGTGCTAGGCTTACCCAGCCTAGGGTGCAGGCCAGAATGTCTTAGTGAGATGTTGGTGGGGTAAAAAAAAACGCCCTATTTAGGATGTCTTTGTAAGTTTCTTAAACTCGATGTTCAGCCTTTTAGACTCTATCTGCTTATTCTGTGTTTAGTTAATTATTCTCTAAGCAGTTGGCCATGTGTCTGGGCTGGGGTTAGTTGCTGGGTGTGAAAGGGTGGGTAACATAAACATAATTCACCCCCTGGGAGCTACCGTTGACTGGAGAAGATGGGTGAGACAGTTAACACACAGGGAAGGACTCAGTGTCATTAGCCACCCAAACTGCAAATTAAAACGATAGTGTGATACCGTCCCACACCCACTGAAATGGATGAAATGAAAAAATCTACACTACCAGCTTTCAGAGAGGGCATGGAGCAGTGGACCGTAACACATCGTCGTGGGTGTGCCACTGATGCATCTGCGTTGGAGCTGCTCAGTGGTTT